TATAAGTGTCAATTTTATAGTTATGGCACTCGAGAGTTTTGAATAAACCCAAAAAACCAAACCCAGAGAGTATGTTTCCACCCAAATTCCAGTTACGAAGTAAAGCAATTAGATCAAATTTCTGCAATCGTTCGAATTTTGCTCTCTTTTTCACGCATACTACTTCGTGTGATGAAGAAAGGAAAGAACAACAACACCTTGAAGAAAGCATTACTAACAGGTCTTATTGGACCAAAAGAATCCACAAGCTTTGTGCAATCGATCGCAATGTCGATGAAGCAATTACCCTTGTTGACAAGCTTTGCATCCATGGATACCACCTCGATTCGCTCAACCTCAGCAGCATAATCCACGCTCTCTGTGATTCCAACAGGTTTGCTGAAGCTCACCGTCGTTTTCTCTCATCTCTTTCTTGCTCTTCCGGTAATGGTTTTATCATACCAGATGAACGAACGTGTAACGTGATCATTGCAAGGTTATTGGATTGGGGGAAAAATCCCCATGTCACATTGCGTCTTGTGCATAGAATTATCACTGTGAAACCTCATTTTGTCCCATCGTTGATGAATTTCAACCGTTTGATCAATCAGCTTTGTTCGTTTTCATACGTTCATTCCGCACATATTTTGTTCTTTCATATGAAGAGTTTAGGCCATCTTCCTAACGAGGTTTCCTACACTACTTTGATCAATGGCTATTCCAGAATTGGGGAAATGGGTTTTGCACATAAGCTGCTCGATGAAATGTCTGAATCTGGGGTAAAGCCTAACTCACTAACATACAGTGTCTTAATCCGTGGAGCTCTTCATGAAAGGAATATCGAACTCTACACCTCATTGCTTCAAAAACTATGGACAACAATGGCTAATGAAAATCACGATCACATTGTCAATCATGCTGCTTTTTCGAATCTAATTCATGCTTTATGTCAACAAGGAATGTTCAAATCAGTTTTTGAAATCGCTGAACAGATGCCTCAAGAGAACAACGTGAACAATGCTTTTGCTTATGCTCAAATGATAGACTCACTTTGTCTCCATGGAAGACATCATGGTGCTTCAAGAATTGTTTACATGATGATGAAGCAAAATTATATCCCAAGCTTAGTTTCCTACAACTCAATCATCCATGGACTTACCAAAAATGGTGGATACCTTAGAGCATATCAATTATTAGAACAAGGAATCGAATTTAACTACACACCATCTGAAAACACTTACAAGATTCTCATACAATGTCTTTGTTTACAAGAACACAATCTTATAAAAGCAAAGAAGCTTCTTGACATTATGTTAAACAAAAAAGGGGTAGACAAGGTTAGAATTTACAATATTTATATACAATCTTTATGTCAAATGAATAAAGATTCTTCTACCGAGCTTCTAAATACCCTTCTCATAATGCTCGAGACAAAATGTCACCCTGACATAGTTACTCTCAACACAATTATCAATGGATTTTGTAAAATGGGAAAACTTGAAGATGCAATGAAGGTTTTAGAAGATATGTTAATTGGAAAGTTTAACTTTTGCACTCCTGATAATGTGACATTTACTACAATTATAAGTGGTTTATTAACATTTGGAAGGATAAAAGAAGCTTTTAACATGTTATATAAAGTTATGCCCGAAAAGGGTTTTCACCCGAGTGTCATAACATATAATGTTGTTCTTCGTGGTTTGTTTAACCTCGGTCTTGTGAAAGAAGCCATGGAAGTGTTTAACTCTATGGGTTTTGGTACAGATTCTGACACTGACAGACTGATTGATGATAACACTGATTCTGACATTCTTACTGTTAGGACAAACATGTGGGGTCAGATTGCTGATAGTACTACACATGCAATAATGATTGATGGATTATGCAAATGTGATTGTGTAGATGAAGCAAAGGTGTTTTGGGATGATGTAATTTGGCCATCGGGGGTTCATGATAATTTTGTGTATTCGGCTATGATTAAAGGGCTTTGTGGGTCCGGGAAGTTTGATGAAGCTTGCGATTTTGTATATGAATTGGTGGATTGTGGGGTTAGGACAAATGTTGTGAATTATAATATTTTGATTGAAGGTGGTTGTAAGTTGGGTTTAAAAAAAGAAGTGTATCAGATTTTGGGGGAAATGAGGAAGAATGGAGTGGAACCAGATTCGGTTACATGGAGGATAATTGATAAATTACATAAGCAAAAGAAAGAATGGAGTTGTGAAGACAAAATCAATGTATAACATGTATGGTTTCTTTCATTGTTAAGTCATTAAATAAGGTTATATAAGTAATATATTTACTTTTTGGTAATTAGTTTATATGCAGATAGTATTAAGGTTAAGTTTAACGTACTAGTTAAAAAACTAGCTGCTAGTTCATAACTGGAAAACTAGTTGTTTTACTGAAAAACTAGTTGAGCTGAAAAGCTAGCTGTCAGTTTATAAGCTAGCTAATAAAAAATAACTGTTTAATAACTTTACCCTTTGATGATTACTTGCATCGTTATGCAAGTAATTTGTGAGTTGCTATTTTCCGAAAATCGGGGGTTACAACATCATTTCTTGTAACATCCGAAATCTTTGGTATTTTATATTTACAAATATTCTTTTAGGAAATAAGTATTGTTCATTAAACTTGTATGTTTTTGTGCTTGAGTTGTCATCAAATCAAAGCAAGAAGAACACCCAGACAACGGGAAGATGAAACTTTCCTACGACTTGTGTATTCAATCTTGTGAACTAATTGTGACGAGATAATAAACTTAAAGGAAAACCAATCAATGAAAGAAGATGAAACCATTATGTTTCAGTAGAAGTACAAGAAATGGTTGGATTTTGCGAATTAAACAATAACAATAACATGAAAACGATTTCAGCAGATTCTTTACAAAGTCCCAACTCCTAACACGAAAAAAGTATCCAAAAAAAATTCAAAAACAAGATTAAATAATAGTCCTTGATCAAACTCAAATCCGAACCAACATACAACTTTCAATGCATAACATACAACTCAACAAACCGTCATTACCTTCCGATTACAAACAAATAACAGAATCCACCACCACCACCACCACCACCACCTTTATTTGTTTGATTTCTCTTGAACTAATTAAAAAAAAACACGAACCACATTCAAACAATACTCGGTGGGTCCCCTTCCCAATTACAAACCGCCCTCGCCCACCGCGTCCTAACACAATCCACCAACGGAGCATGCTGAGTCCGCTCCGGTTTCTCCACCTCCACCACCTCATCACCACCACCACCGCCGCCGCCGCCGCCACTCCCGCCCGCCATAAACTCCTCCGGCGTCCACCTTGGCGGGACCGAAACCCTCAACTTGGTCAACCTCGGCCGTTGCACGCCAACCTCACTCCCGGAAACCGCTTTCGCAATCCCATTAAAATGCCACAAGTAAAAGACCTTTTTACCCATCAACCCTGTGGAATCCTTCAACCCACCAAACCCTTTATCCAAATCCAAAAGCACTTGCCAAAACTCACTCCAAACGATAAACCCTGAAGAACACAACGCCTCCATTTTTTCCGGCGGGAGGTTCACGTTTGTTTCCCGGAGGACTTGCCGGAATCCGTCGACGGAGATGAACCCGCCGCCGCCGGATTGGTCTTGGGAGTCAAAGGCTCGCCGGATTGTCGTTTCGCGGTTTTCAAATTCGTTTTCGGCCTGGACCTGTGGGTCCAGGGCGAATAACACGGTGTAGTGGGATTCACTTCCCACTACCCAGATTGGCCATTTTGGGGATTTTAAGGATTGGCCGACTTTACAAAAATTGAGGGATTCTAGTAATGTGAGGAATCCGACTTCTACGGGAGTCAAGATTCCTTTGACAAACATTCCGCCGCCTAAATCCATTTTTCCATCGAATACGTTGGCAACCGCCATTCCGGAGAGTAGGAGGTTAACAATTTCCTGAAGGGAAGACATAAAGGAAAATTGTCAGAAAAGTCCCAATATTTTCGGAAAAGTTTCACTTTAGTCCCCAAATTTTTTTTTGGACATAAAAGTCCCGATTATTTAATTTTTGGCTCGAAAAAGTCATTTTTTTTTCTTTTAACAGTAATAAGACATTATCGTGTAAAATCAAATAATCAGGACTTTTCTATTCAAAAAAAAAAAATTAAGACTAAAGTGAAACTTTTCCGAAAATATTGGGACTTTTCTGACAATTAACCAAGACATGAAATATTGATTTGTTAAGGATGTGTAGATGTTTAATTTTTTTACTATATTGTAATTACACATGAGAAATGTTAAGTGATGATTAATAATAGTAATGATGAGATATTTTTATATGGTTGTGTAATTTTGTGTCTTTTGTATATATTGAGGTAAAAGTGAGATATTGTTTGTATATATTGGTGAAAAGTGAAATATTGCTTGCATATATTGGTGAGAAATGTTGTTTGCATAAAAAATGGTAACTATTGTATAAATTGGTAGAATATGAAATATTGATTGGTAAAAAAGTGAAATATTGATTGCATAAATGGGTAAAAAAGTGAAATACTGCGACAAAAATTGGTAAAAAAGTGAAATGTTAATTGCATAAATTGGTAAAAAAGTGAAATGTTGATTGCATAAATGGGTAAAAAAGTAAAATACTGTGACAAAAATTGGTAAAAAAGCGAAAAGTTATTTGCATAAATTGGTAAAAAAGTGAAATGTTGTTGCATAAATTGGTAAAATGAAGTGAAATATTGTTGTATAAATTGATAAGAAAAGGTGAAATGTTGTATAAATTGGTAAAGAAGTGAAACAATGTTTGCAAAAATTGGTAAAAAAATTAGAACATTATTGAATAAATCTAAAAAAAATGAAAACTTCTTGCATAGACAAGCATTTATGGAATAAAAAGTGGTTGCATATTTCGACTAAGAACAACTTTGTTGCATAAATTGGAAAAAATGTAAAATTTGGTTGCGTAAATACATATTTAACCCTATAAATAATTATTATTACAATACTAAGGAAAAAAAAATGGTATGTGAATAATACCTGTGATGCATGTCCAAATGGAGCTGTAACTAAAGGTTGGCTAGGGTCATCCCTGTCAGATTGAACTGTTTCCTGAAAAAAGAAAGAAGGAAACATGACTCCATTCCATTCCATCACACAAAACAAAAGAGTTTTTTTTTTGTTTATTCCAACGGAATGAACCATTCCATTCCATCCTCCAAACATTATAGAAAGAGAAATGAAGAGAAAAATACAAGTATTTACCAATCCCCGAGAAAGTAATGCGGAAAGTAGGAATAGGAGTGCTCCCATACGACTACGGAAGATCGGAATCATTGATTCCAGCCTCTGCATTGCACTTGCAGGAGATGTGAATGTGGTAACTGTCAAAACTTTTTGCAAATCAACACCGGATTCAAGTGAAAGACCTTCAAGTGATCTTGCAACAATCTGTTCATATCATCCGAAAATCAATATTTAAAAAGTCTATATAAAAAACAAAATTATAAACCAGCATCAGGGAAATTACGAAAGTGACCTTACCTCATCTTTTTCCTTTTCATCTTTACCCTCAATGTTCTGGTCAAAAATTTTCAGAGATGCAATTGTTGCACTGTTATTATTTCCACATAAAAACAATATTTCACCCATGCTCCTCACCAAGGCTCTACATGTAAGTATAAATGTCTTTCAGAACATTTTAGTTTAAGAGTGTGAAAATTACCAATAACCCCTCACATTGACATCAATACAAAGATGATAAGGGGCATTTACGTCATTTGAACAGAAAAAAGATCACCTTGATTTTGTTTCTTCGGTTAGAGAGCCAAATATATTTGACACAGAATCTTGATTTTCCTGCAGTCTTCTTGAAATTGATTTCATTGGTGTATTTTGAACACCTTTTACTAATTCTTGTGGGAAAAATAGGAGGTATTTAAGAACAAATGCCTGCAAAATGAAAATAAAAAAATAAAAAAATTGAGATGTAGGAATTGTCGAAGTTGTCATGAATTAAATCTTTATTTGTTAAAACTGGTTTCATGTTTTGCAGTGTGATTAAAATATGTAATCATGCCTTTTAGTTTAATTTAATTTCTGTTTTTAAGATTGAGAAAAGTTTCAACTAACTACCAATAATTTTTTTTAAAGAATATATAATTTATAACGACATGAATTCAAGAAATTTACTTGTATAGCTGCTAAGACACCACATGGCCCACCTTCATGCTGAACTAATCCCATTGATGTTTCTTCATCAGGACTAAACCTACAAGCAAATTATATTCTCTAGAATAAGAAAGGAGCAAGGTTTTACATACCATAAAATGAAAGGCTAAATGCAATAAACAGCAATCTACTTTCATTTATATGTAAAGTATACACACATAAAACTAAAAGTTATGCTACTGCATTGTTATTGCTAAGGTGACGTCTGAGAGATGCCCTCCTTATTCAAGTATATGAAACATTAACTCTCCTTTAACAAAAACGGACGCAAATTTTTTATTCAAATGCATAGTTTAAATGAGATCAATTCTTTAGCACGAATTAATTTCGATGTCTTAATTGTTTTTAAAGCACTCTAGAAATTCATCATGTGTAACACTAATTTCTATGGTCACATTGAAAACTTGGAAGTCATGCGAGAACACCTTCAACCGTGTAACACTAAATCCTTTGTCTACATATAAGGCTGGTTCCAAGTTAATTAAGATAGATGTAATTGTCATTTGTTACATGCTTCCTGGAGTAGCATGGAGCTAATAATAGGGATGCAATCCTGCATCAATGAACTCAAAGAAGAGTCTCATTCTAAGAATCCTTCAATCTCCCAAATTTTTAATGTCTCAAAATGAAAGCTTTATCTCTAGATTGATCTAATTCTAAGCTGATAAAAATTTTGATTTAATTCTCAACTGATACATACGCATTAAGCATGGGTTTTATATGTCTGATTAGATTATACAACCTAAGGTTACAAAAATAATTACTAACTAAACTATGCACTACATAAACTGCAAGATCGATAGGAAAACAGTAAATATTCAATTGCATTATATAACCAATCGCCATACCTGATTCCCTGATTGCTCCACTGCGCAAGTATTCCCTTTGAAACTTCATTTCCAAACACCATTGAGAATAGCTGTTGTGCTTCATCCGATGATAACTCTTTCCCCAAAAACTTGTCTTCCTTCACTATCGCCACAGTTTTATCCATTTTTGACGATGAAGCTTCCGAGGAAGAAGGAACATCCTTAGGCGCACTAGTAATAGTAGCAGTCGTGGGCATAGCTGCCGATGCCGCCATCATACGCTTTTCAGCTGCTGCCGCCATCAACTCCCTCTGCAACCTCCGATTCTTCACCTCCGGCGACTCTTCCAAAGGAGTCTCAGCGCTGTCGTCCCTCGCTTTGCTCCTCTTCGGCTCTGGCGGTTCATGTTGCATGCTCATCCGTAACGCCTTTTGCAAATCATCCTCCTCGTGATCCTCCATTGGAATCGAATCAAATCAAATCAAATCTTTCCTTATCTCTATGAGACCGGATCTCTCAGCTAAAAAAACCTTCACCCAAATTAGGGTTTCCCAAATCAAATATCCAACAAATTATTATGTATGTATATATACACAAAAAGCAAATCAAAATCAATCAAACAATTATACAAACATCTACACACAAGATTTAGCTAAAAAAGCCCTAACATCTTGACTTGAAAGCTTACAGTCTCTGTGAGAGTCCTGCGAATGTATATATAGAAAGGGGAAAAATTGAATCCGTTATTGGGGGTTTAATTTAAACCTAATTTATATCCAACGAACATAATTTGGCGTCTGTTGAGTGTTGACCCATGGGGCCAACGACGTCGTATTTACGTCACTCGGGGGGAATGACGGTTGCGTCCTCGGGATGAATTGAAGCGGCTTTCAGATGCGAAGGGTGTTCTGGTCATTAAATAAGTATAAATTAAATATTATTATTATTATTTTTCAGGCGATAATATACTTGGCTTGTATGAAGAGTTCCATATCTGTTGGGTTTTTGTGTAGTAAAGTGATTGTGACAGGGTGTTCATGTGTATGTATTACATAACTAAATTATATGTTCAGAGATATTCACTATTTCACTACAAAGCGATGTTTTGCAAGAGATATTACATAACTATTACACTTTCGGTAAAATCAGATAATAATCATATGTCTGAATTCCAAAAAATTTGTGGTGAATGAAAAAGTTTGAAAACACTGTTCAAATAAAGAATAATTAAGGTCATAAAAATGCATATGAAAAACAAGTCGAAAATCTTCACACGTCTCTTGATTTTGTAAGTTTTTTTAATATATGTTACATTTTGTCGGCTAAGTGGTATATTGTTCAGAGGCGGAGGATCATTAGGGACGGGAGAGGCTATGCCCCCCCCCCTTGATTTTTTTTCTTAGAACTAGTTATAGCCCAACAAATTTTACCCAAATCAAGCCCAAAAAATAAATTGTTTGGGCTGCCCCAGCTCTCCGAACCAAAGTCATCGACACTTCTAACCCTCGCTCAGTCGCTCCATCATTCGTTGTTCGCTGCACTACGCATCCACCTCAGCACCTCCCAATCGGCTATCTTCAATCAACGCTGACAGCTCCACCTCTCGCCCCTGCACTAGAATCGATCAGATATGTTCAGTGTTCTTCCAATTTCTCTCTTCTCTCTTCTGCATCGGACCATCATCCCCATTACCTCAGCCCCTTTGATTAAGTTTAACTGATTGATAATGAATGTCTGATTATGCTTGTTATATTCAGTTATTTGCTTTAAATAACTGATACGTTTGTTCTTGGACTAACATTGTTAGTTAAATTGTTGGTTCAATTTTAACCCATTTGCATGAAAATCCTAATTAAGCAGGATGCAATATTTTAAACCTGTATGCAAAAACTTTAAATATAGTATGAGCAACTAGAAAGAGAAAAAAAAAGAAAAAAAATAGACAATAGAGAAGAAATTATAGCTAGAAAGAGAAAAGAAAAGAAAGAATAGACAACAGAAAAGAAAGTGTAATTGCGAGTGTGAGAGGAGATTGACAGAAAAAGGAAAGCAAGTATGATTTAGGAATGGAGGTTTCAGAAGAAGAAAAAAATGGTTACAACATACTCTTGGCTTCATATTGATAGGTCTCATTATTCCTTTTTTTGACAAAATACTCTCCTATTTTCTTTCATTCCCAATAAACAAATTGATAAAGTTTTTGAGTTGGCAAAAATGTTATTATTCTGATAAAAATAAAAGAATTAAAAAATGGAACTATGGAAGTTTAGATGGTTTTCTCGTTTGTTGGTTTAAATAGAAAGATAAATTATTGAAAACAATGATTGGAAGTTTGTAATTCTTCTTCTTGGTATTTTTGTTGTTTGTTTGCTGGAAAAAAATATTATACTTTCGCCCCCCCCCCCCCCCAAATTAATTGTTCAAGCTCCGCCCCTAATATTGTTCCTCATTCACTATGAAAAAAAAGTTTTTAGCGTTTGGAGGAAAAGTCATTTCCGAAAATCGAGAGATATCGTGGATCTGTTTGAAGGATCATGTGATCACTTTCCGAATATGATATATGTTTGGATATCACAAAATCAAGATTACAAGGATAATCATTCAAAGAACATTTTATAATCATGACTCTGATATGAAAATCAGGATTCGAATTATTCTGATTACCAAAGATAAGATCCACTCAACACCAAATGTTGCTTTTATCCCATAAATAAATTGATGACGGTTTCTAGGAAATTATCAGGAAATATAATCCAATAAGGGGATGCCCTAGGACCCCGCAACAGGCTCCCTTGACCCCCACCATTTAGTCGAACCGAGATCAACTTGTTTTACACAAACGTGCACTCCGTATCTCTCCTAACTTGTATATAGAATCAAAAATCAAACTTCATTGGTAATATGTAGATTCTATTATACTAAAATGACTTGTGACACCATATCACCAGCAATAGTTTCAAACAATTTATTGTAACAACCCGATATTTCAAGTCAATGTAATGAGCTAACGTCAAGTATTGTAACCTATATTGAGATGATAATAGAAATAGCGACAACATGAAATGTTCAAAAATCTCAATGTGAATGTAGTAAGTTGTAGATATCGTAAAAAGGTTTTCAAAAATATAAAGAACACTAAAATCTGAGTTATAACGAAGAAGTTATGACCAATCGAAGATCCGCAACAAAACCTGTAAAACACTGTCAAGCATAAAACGCGAAAATTCAATAAAATACTTTTTAGCCTTAGGTATCTAAATGAAAGTCGTAGATATCATTAAACCGTGAACATACATAAAAAGAACGTCTAAATCTGACTTCGTATGAGGAAATTATGATTTTTCTAAATTTCGGATACAACAGTAGACAGCTAAAAACTCGAAATAGAGATCGAGAGACTTTTAGCCGACACAACCTAAACAAGATTCGAAGACCTCAACAATAGTAACACAACGGTAAAAAGGCAGACGAAATCGGACGTCGGATGAAGAAGTTATGGATTTTTAACAGACTTTTCCAGTCCCGGCCTGTTAAAAATATAATATTAAAAATAAAGTCAAAACTAGCCGACGGAGTCTAAACAAGAGTTGTAGAGAATAATCTCACCTACGCGTGGATATAAAGAACGTCAAAATCGGAGCTCGTATGCGAGAGATATGAATTTCCGAAGTTCGGGACACGAAACCCCACACTGTCAGAAACTCACGACGTGAGCTAGTGACTGATGGGTGCCAGGGTCGGGCTATCATACGTCGAGTCTACGTAAGAGGATAAGATCTAACTGACGACGTAAGCCACTCCATGCTCACGACGTGAGCTCCAAAAATGCACCCTATATAAAGGATGTGAGGGCTCCGGAGTTTGGTTGCTAATTCACTACTTTCTCTCCCAAATTTCGTACTTCTAGCCTCTCGAGACTACCCCGACGCCCCAGTTTCATATCCAAGCTCTGAAGGAAGTTCGAAGCCCCGAGATTTCTGAGAAATCGACTTCTTTCCGGTCGAAGTGCTGCCCGAGCAAAGTATCGTTTTCATCAAAATCGTCACTTCTACCAAGTGAGTTCATACCCCTATCACCACACTTTTAAATGCTTTTAAACACTTTCAAGGGGGGGGGGGGAATACAAGTAAACACACGGTTAAACTCTTGCGAAAAACATCAATCTTTTGCTATACTTTTCATACTGTTGTTATAACTATCATATGAGTTGTTAACATGCAAAACATCACACATCACAACTTTACCCTTATGGGATACAATATATTTTATAAATAGAAATATGTTTTATTTATATGTTTGCATACTACATCATACCAAGGGTAACCTTTTCAACTATAACATTATGTTTGTACACGAAAATACAACTCATTATTATGCCTTTGTCAACACTGTAGAAAGGGTAATCATTTCAGAAATCACTCATATACATTTTAAGAATACGTGACTTAATTGAGAATCCGTGAGACATTCGTCTTCACTATACCTATCAAGGTACCACTAGAAAGCTCTGTTTTATAACCAGAGTCTCCCGTCCGGAGAACGTGATAAGTGTGTATAGATCTATACGGGACTGATGATCCCGCGC